TACATTGAACTAGAGAGGTCAAGTCAGGACGTAAAGCAATATTCGTGTAATGAGGCAACCATTAAACTCATCATAAATAATAACTAGCAATATTTGCATAAACCAAAGAGATGTGCTTTGGTTTGGCTTAATAATTTCTTTGTACGTATAAATGCCACCAAATGAGTATAACACAGACACTTACAAAATCTTCATATAAAAAAAAATGAATATAAAATGATGTGACATTATTCTTTAAATGATATATCAATTAATGAGTTAATTTTATATATTTATTCTACCATTTATATTCGATCATTTTCCTTTGGCCCTATCTAGCTACTTAGTGTGTTATTTGGTTTTGCTTGCCGTGTGGAACCATCAAGAATATAATTCATTGATCACTCACTCATATGGGAGAGAGATTTTGTCCACCTCGAGTTTTCAGTCAGCTAGTCTAGGTCCTTAATTTTGAAATATTAGGATTTACCCCACTTTAAATTTAATAAAAGAGAGTATTTTTATTATTTACAGACTAAAATACCATTCATTTTGATATTGTCCCGATTTTATTCTTAATATTTGCTCTAATCAGGGGTATATCCTAATGCTTTAAACTGTAGGAACTGGATTAGTGGAGTCAAAGTACATGCATGTTGGCTACAGAAGCACTTTTGCTGTCAAAAGAAATCTGGATGTTTTGTATACACTATCAGACAAGAAGCCTTCACATGAGCTACTTACTTAGTTGCCTGCCTTTAAAGTAAACACACAACTGTGATGGATTTGTCCATTTGATGGGCTCAGAATAATGACCACACACATGGAAATATATGGCTACTAGGGTTTCAGGGTTTCTTGTCGTCATCCATGTCTCTTTGGGTCATCTCTGTAATTGCTTCAACTCTTGGACATTCTTGTATGGTTTTTTCAGCCCCATGTTACTACTCTTGTTATAAAGTTGTGGTAGGGGCCGGCCTCCAATATTGCAATGTGACTATGTCGTCTGGTACTGAAACAAAGTAAAGTCCGTGCTGCAATATTCTTATCAAAATTATTGTATTGTAATTGAATCCATTGATGTGATCATCTCTATAAGTGTTCTTCGCTTGAAGTTCAATGAATGGTTCTTTTTATATTCCACAAACAGTAAAGAGTAGCTCAAATCAAAATCTAACTGTATCAAAAACTCTAGAATAGACTCTTATAATTGTTGAAGATGGTTACTCAATAGACCATTCAAGGCTTGTAATTTTCAATACTGTATAAGCCCATAAGCATTATGATTAGTGGGTCACTCGAACAATATACCATTACATTTCTGGTTCATCCACATGCTTTCACCCATAGCCCACAACTGCCTGCTCATGTTATTCTGCTTCTTTTTCTTTGGATTTCTCCTTCCCAGTCGGCAGTCACCACATCAGTTTTCTCTTTCTCCTTTAAGTCACTCTTCACAGCTATTCTGCAACTTGTGCAGGTTTATACCCAAGTAATCTGAGGCTAATAGCTTGACTCCATCAAAGCTACAATAAGAGATGTGGTTTGTGGTCAAGCTGGTCTCCGCAGCTAGACCACAAACCCCATCAATGTAGTCCAGACTCCAGAGAGTGTTAACATGTAGTGTAGCTAACTCTTCAATCTTCTCTTTCCGGGCAACTCTACCTCTCTTTCGGGCATCATCATTTCGCCGTTCAGGCAAGTCTTCACTGCAATCAATATCTTCAATCACAAGAAATGACCTATTCCCAGTCGCCAGCAACAATCTTCTGAGATCAGAGTCACACTTTACATTTGCTAGCTGCAGATCATACACATCAAACTTGAGATAATTGGCCATTGACAGCAACCGAGCTTGATTTTTCTGTTCCTGGAGGACAATATAACGAGTGGCCGCGTTTCCATGCCCTCCCTACTCTCTTCTAGAACTCCTTGCTCTTGGCCAAAGTCTCAAATATTGAGGGATGTTCAAGGTTGATGCAATCCCAATTGATTCATTGATCTTGCTGTGAGTTGCTAAGTGTAGACATCTTTAAAACCCTTTGATCATCAGTTATATCCTCTGCTTTCTGGAGAAAAAATGGCAGGAGAATCCCTCACCAGGTCCTTGTGTTTCTTGTGGAAAGTAAGCTCAAATGGTCTCTTACCATTTGTTCTCCAGAAAAGCAGAGGATATAGCTGAAACGAAAGGTTTTACTCTTTTGCGGATTTGGTAACTTTGATCCTTTTGGTGATTTCTTCTACAACAACAGTGGTTTCTTGAGAAGGAAAGTTGAATATTTGGTGGAGTTTAGACACGGCATAATCTCAGAACTTGATTATTACGAAATCTGTTGGTATTGCTTGAAACAACAATCGGAGGCTCTGGCAGAGAGATCATGATGATAGCAAAGGAATCTCTTTGCTTGAAAACATGTTCGCCATTGGATCAGCTCTAATGGAGAGAGTATTGTTTCTATGTTTGCTATCAAATTTAGAGCTTTCATCTTTGTATTTGCATTTGTATTAGAGTTTCATCTCAAATTCCTACAACTTATTACTCTTACATTATTTGTGCTCTTCCACCTTAAATCAAACACAAACTACACTACTGCATCTAGTACTAAACTTTATCCATCGATTAGCAAACATAACATAAATCAAGCAGAAAAAACGATACATTTTTACCTCACACGCCCCAAATTGAGGCTGCCCAAAGATCTCAAGCTCAGATTTCTCTTCAGCCATCATATGCTAAATTCTAGCCCAAGAAATCCAAGCTTCCCAGGACATTCTTTTATCCCAAGGATCACCCTATTCCAATAATAGTATCAGCCATTTCTCTGCATCTTCAAACCTTTTGTCAAATAAATCTGACTCAACATCACATGTGGCTCACCAATAACTGGGTATCAACATCAAGAGGAACTGTCTTTGAGTCCCACTAAGGAAGTGAGTTTTAATCCCTATTATTTATACGGAAGAGCACAAAAATCCAACAATATTCTACAATGGACCGGGATTTGTTACACTATCTATTCATTTGTACCCAAAACATTGGTACAATTTAGGATTACATTCTAGCCGAAGCAAATTAGTTAATATTTAATACAAAATAAAAGATGGATCGTACACAAATTGCATAATAATACTCTGTTTCTTTCGAAGATACCTACAATATCTGATAATTTTTCTGACTAAAGAAGCCATGCCATCTCTGGTGAGCCTGAATGCATGGACACCAACAAGCGAAGGTAAGTTGTTTGATGGTGAGGCTGCAGAGCAGTAGAAAGTTCGCTTCTTTTGTGTTGCTCAGCGCCCACCTTTGATTATGATGAACCGCTTGTTGAACACCTTAAACTGTCTGAAGTTCTTTGTGAAATGCAAAAGAGAAAGGCTTGTTCAACGGAGAGGAAGCTTGGAGGAAAAAGATTAATGCTTCATTGCCTGCGAATGGGATCACAGTAAAGCATATCAAGACTGGTGAAGATACAATGGTTGTAAGAAGAGTTGTGGCTATACGAGTCTCTACTTTCTATAAGTTCATTTGCACCCAAAACTACTGTGAAATTCTCAAATACTGGTGGTACTACAAGCTCAATATACACATCTCTCTCTTTATCAACATCAACAACACCAGCCCTTTTTCTCTCTTCAGGAAAATACTCTTCCTCACTCACAATCAAACCATAAATGGCACCCATTCTTGATAATGAATTCATCCATAATCCAGGCTTCCCATCTTCAGGCCACAAAGTAGCATTAATTATTTCCTGAAAAATCAAGCCGACCATCAAAGTTATCATACAAGACATCCTGAAAACCAAAGAATTGTTCACTGAAATCTGCGGTAGCCATCAACAGAAGAATAGCCACCACTCGTCTTGTAGCCGACACATCTTCAGCAGTCCTGATATGCTTCGCTGTGGTCCCATTTGCAGGCAATAAAAGTAAGCTCCTACACTGTCAAGCTGTCTCAAACATGGCAAAACTTCCGTTAAGAGTTTGAATAAGCTGAATGAAAGAGCCCTCAAAGACAAACACAGTCTGGCACTCCCCATATCACTAAAATATGATAAATACTGTTGGTTTTTAGATCTGGCGAATACTAAGGAAAGGGGACCAAAACAGACGTGAGAGAGAGCCATAGAGAGAGAAAATCTGAATTGAAATTTTGCTCTGTTTTGCATTAAAAAAACAGGGGTAATTTATATACAAAGTCAGTCCACTGTATCACCTAATGCGGGGATATTTTACAAGTTTGAATTTAAACTAAACACATAAAACTAATACAAGTACAAGCATTTCAAATACATTCCTTAATCAAAGTTGAATCCACCTAAACACATCACTACTGAACATCACGAAAGTCTTTCAAACAGTGACAAAAAAACTGCAGCTTCACGCACAGCACCATTTCAAACCGTGGCGCCAAAAACTTACAACTCCCACCGTGTGTTAGACTTCATCATTTTCAGCAAGATATCACCATCTTCAACAAATACCAACAAGATTTTCAAGAGAGTTCCCATTTTACGCCAGCACTCTGCAGCACCAACAGAACGAAAGGACGCAACATGGGAAGGAAGGTTCTTGTCAACGCATTAGAGTTCACCTAGAAAAAAAGGACGAGTCCAGGCTAAAAGGGTTTGGAGGTACTGGGGTGATGATGGAGAATCTGAAGATGGAATGGCTTGTTTTTGTGAGTGAATTGATAAGATTGAAAGGTCGAACTGGGGCTGGAGAATGAGCTAGTGAGTGGTTCGTTAATATAGAGGAGACATAATGGGGTTTCATTGTTCTTCTAATTTGGCAGACATCAAAAGAAAAAAAAAATTATTTTCTTTTAATCATTGTTCAATGACACGTTTTCTAATAATTGCATTTTGTAATATTTGGATTCATATTAACAAACGTGTTCATCCGATGAGGATTTGCATATGAATACATTACATATCATAATTTGTTAGGTATATATTGTCTTCTATACATTAAGAAAAGCTTTTGATTTGCAATACAGCTGGGAAAGTTTATACTACACGAAAGGAAAATTGAAAAATATTTTCTTTCAGATCAAGCATAACAAACAGGAATGTTTTATTCCTAATTATGGAAATCTTAAATTTGCTGCCTACAGGCGGCACCTTACATCATTAACATACAGACTGCTACACACTACAGAGCAAACTTTATTTTTGGTTTAGCAAATTTAACTAGTGCTTGCTGGAAGAACATATCAATCAAATCGTCATTTTACCTCACAAGTCCCAAATTAAGGATGCCCCAAGATGTCTCTGGCCAAGACTTTTCTTTTGCCTTCATATACAGAACTCTATTCCAAGCAATCCAACCTTCCCAAGACATTCTTTTATCCCAAGGACTCCCCCATTCCAACAGCAGTGTTAACCCTTTTTCAGCCTCTTTCTCTGCTTCCTCAAACCTCCCTTTTGATAAATAAATCTGACCCAACACCACATGCGGCTCACCAATAAATGGGTTCTTCTCAATGCACTTCAACAATAACTCCTCAGCTTTGTCTAAACCCTTTTTGTTACCATCACAAACAGCTTCCCAGTACAAATCCGTTCCCTCTATTTGTTCATTTGCACCCAAAACTTTAGTGCAATTCTCAAATACCGGTGGTATCACAAGCTCAATGTCCTCATCTCTCCCTTTATCCACCTCAACACCGCCAGCCCTTTTCCTCTCTTCAATAAAAATCTCTTCCTCTCTCACAATCAAACTATAAATGGCACCCATTCTTGCTGATGAATTCATCCATAGTCCAGGCTTCCCATCTCCTGGCCACAAAGAAGTATAACTATTCCCTACAAATTCAAGCCGACCATCAAAGTTATCAAACAGGAAATCCTGAAAACCAAAGAGTTGATCACTGAAATCTGCAATAGTCATCATCAGAAAAATAGCCACGACTCTTCTTGTAACCAACACATCTTCCCCAGACTTGATATGCTTCACAATTATCCCATTTGCAGGCAATAAAGCATTAATCTTTTTCCTCCAAGCCTCCTCTCCGTTGAACAAGCCTTTCTTTTTAGCATTCCGCAATGAAATTTCAGACAATTTAAGGTGTTCAACCAGTTCTCCATCAGAATACTTGAACAAAAGATCATCATGAATCAAAGGCTGACGCGGCACAATACAAAACAAGTGAATCAACCGCTCTGCGGCCTCGCCAACATGGCCACGAACAACATCACGACCAGTGTTGGGATCAAATATGGCAAGATTCACATAAGAGTTTGAATAAGCAGAATGAAAAAGCCCGCAAAGACAAACGCAGTCTGGCACTTTCCAAATCTTTAAAATCCGATACATATCAACAAGATGTTCAAGAAAACTTCCATGTTTATGCCAGCACTCACCGGCACCAACAGAACGCAAAACAGCAACAAGGGAAGGCAAATTCTTGTCAATGCATTCGAGTTCACCTCGAAGAAAAGGACGAGCTATGGCCAAAAGGGATTGGAGATACTGGGGTGATGATGATGAAGAATCTGAAGACGGCATGACTGATGGCTCGGCTATGTGAGTGAAGTGATGAAAAGGAAAGTTAACGATGAAACTGGTGATGGAGAATGAATGGTTGGTTTCAATAATATAAAGAAGATACGTAATGGATTTTGATTGCTCCTCTTAAAGTGGCAGTGATCAAAAGGATAAGGTTAAAATAATTTTTTGGATGATTTTCATCGTATTTTTCTGATTGAATTCAACTGATTGCGATCGATGAATATTGTGGATGAGTATTGCTCATACAGAAATCTATACCAACTAGAGGATTTTGATCGATACTATTTCGATTGATCCAAATGAACATGTGCTTATGATTACAGAAAACCAGATGAATAATAAATACAATAAAATAAATGATAGAAAGAATTTTAAAATGGTTCGACAAGTTAGAACTTAAGTCTACGTTAACTGTTGTCTTATTATTTTTTAGAGCTTACAAAAAACAGTATAATAACAATTGTCCAACCCCCTTGAAAATAAGTTATGAAAATAAGTTATGATGGGTTTATATAACACTCATTTATATGATAGAGTTGAGATAAGATTCAAATACGTAGAATTATGAAGTTGCATGATCTTCGACTACCTTAGCTGAAATCTAAGTCAATCTGAATATTTTCCTTCCAAATTGAGCCGATCTAAATATCTTATATCGTAATGGTGAATTATCATCTCCGGATTGATTGCATGACAAGTATTAATGCATAATAAATATCATCTTTTACCTGACTGACAGATATTTATACATGCAATTCACATAAGTAAATTACATTACATTATATATATTCATATCATAAAATATAAAAATAGTTAATTATATAGGCATACTTATTATGCTTGGGATAATGTCATGATAGAATGTGTGAACACAGGGTATTTGATGTAAGGGTTATTAAACATTATGGGGAGAGTGTCTTAGAAACTGGGATTGCTTTCACTCTAGGTACTGGATTGAGCATGATTAGAAACTAGGATATTTCTGCTCTGTTATATGTACTGGGTTTATGGTGTTGTGTACTCTTATATCCTGTGTTCATGAAAATATAGTGGATTTCTCTCATATATGAATATAGGCGGATTATATTGAACCACGTAAATATTATGTCTCTTTGTGTGATATGATTTATTCTTATGTTTTCCTCTCTCTCTATCTCTCTCTCTATATATATATATATATAAAGTTTTCCCTACCAAGCTACTTGTTAAATTATGACCAGATGAATTATATATATATACTTGTTAAATTATGACCAGATGAATTATATATATATATATATAAAGTTTTCCCTACCAAGCTACTTGTTAAATTATGACCAGATGAATTATATATATATACTTGTTAAATTATGACCAGATGAATTATATATATATATATATAAAGTTTTCCCTATAAAGGGACTTGTTAAATTATGACCAGATGAATTAATATAAAACATCAATTTGATAAAATACACATTAAATAGTAGTGAATAAATGACAGTGAAAAAGTAGTATCATGTCACTTTGTATGATTAATTTTATATATAGACTTTGTTAATATAGTATTATCGCCTGTCACTATATGATGACTATATTTTCTTAAAATTATTTATACTATAATAATAACATTGCATTCAAAGCCTTGATCATAGTACCATTCAATTAAATATTTCCATTTAATCTGTCGAAAGTGTTTGTCTACATTATATTTATATTAAATAAAAAGTCACGCGTCACATAATTATCTCCCCACATTAATTTATAATTTGTTCAAATTAATTTATAATTTCCTCTATCAACATGACTTAATGCAGGCAATTTTTTTATATAATCTTGAAAAGCATTCAACCATAATTAATTTGATTATATATGGGGTTTCAATTTTCTTCCTAATAATGTCAAGGACCAATGGATACTTGTTTATAGTTGGAGAACTGGTCACATATGATCTTATCATTTTAGTTGCATTTAATATGCTATATAAGCTGTTGTTAATTTAATTAAAACAAATACTTAAACTCCATATAAATATATTTACCCACCCATTGATGGAAACATTTATATTATTTCAAACATTATGTATGCTCATTCATGCCAAATTAAAATAACAATGTATTATTAATGGGTTAAAAAAATATTTTCAATCTTGTCAAAATATACAAATACGCTTTTATTTCACTATATTATTCAAATATAATAAGATTTATATTGCAATCTAAAGTCTAAACAAAAAATTCTAAAAAATTTTAAAATTTTGTTGGACACCTACATATACAAAAGGTTGTGTCTATCATCTTTGTTGGTTTCATGCATAAATTTTGATTCATTACAGTGAAAATAACTCTATGAATGTAAAGTCTTTCTAAATAATAAACAAATAGATACAAAACCATTTTTATTTGAAAAGAAATTGTCAGATCAGGCTTGTTTTTAATTTGTTTTATATATAAGATAATATCATGCCAAAAAGAAAGAAAATATCTTCATTCAACATTCATGTTTATTCATAACATTTCAATCATGCAGTCCTGAATTCTTTTGTTTGCTTGATTAGCATGAGCATCTCTATCTATGTATTGATAACTTTAATAATTACGTATAAAATGGGCGGTTGACGGTTTATTTTCCTTTTCCATAGCTTTCTTGGCATGGCTGGCACCAAACATATTTTTTTTTCATATTTTAACTGGGAAGTTAGTTGAGTTTGTAACGTAGTATATGTCATTATGTTTGGTTTTATACTTCCTACTTGCATATAATAATGAAGTTTTCTTCGAATGGGATCTTCTTCTTCCCATTACGTTAGAATGTTTCTTTGTTTGTTTCTTCCTTAAGATTTGGTTCAAAGTATGTAGAAAAAGATCATCTTACTCTTTACAACAAAGTTTTGCCACAAAGCAAAGCATTAATATATGCTACAACATGCTTTCTGAAAACACATCAACTGAAACTCTCTTACTAATAGTTTTGTTTTCTAACGTGGGACTCGTGAAAACTTGTTTCTTGTGTGTGTTATTTAATCCAAGTTTAACAGGAGTGTTGAAAACTCAGAAGGGGTTTTGGGAGTGTTGAAACTTGTTTCCGTTGATTGTGCAAGAACAAATACGAGTTCTGAAATGGGGTGCTTTCCGTCAACTTCAAATGATTCTGCTGGAAATAGAAGAAAGCCGAGAAATGTTGGGGAGATTGAAGTGTTTGTTCCAGGGTTTAGGATTCCGAAACCTGTTGACTTTTCTGAACAGATTGGTGATGGGTTATCCAGGAGCTTGGTTGAACATTTATCAGCTCTTAGAACAAGGATAGTTGTCATGGCAGGCCAAGAAGCGCCCATGTGTGTAAAACCAAGAAGAAAAGCCACTCAGCATGGTTATTTATTTATTTTTTTTTTACTTGTTTAGAGCTGTTAAAGTTTTTTTTTTTTTTTTGTTAAACTTTTGTTCATTAGCATGATGAATTGGATTTGGATTATTGTCTTGTAGGAGGATCTACATTGGCTGATCTTCAGCAAGCTCTTGAAGATTACCTGCCAGTCGTATTGGGGCTAGTTGAAAAAGGAAACCAGCAACACAATAAGTTGCAATTCTCTTGGGCAAATCAGGAGGATGCTGCAGAGGTGAAATTGACTTGTTCTTCCAGAATCCAGTTGATGTTTCAGGCTAAGATTTATATGGATTTGCTTCTTTGCAGGAAACAACAATGTCAAATTCTTGGTATGAGGTATTATCAGTTTTGCACTTGATGAGCATGCTATTATTATCACAGGCCAACTCTTTGCTTCTTCATAAAGCTTCTACCGATGGTTATCAGCTAAAATCATCGGAAGGTGAGGTTATTTTTTTACTTCTTGTTTTCGCTTATTGTTCATCCTGTTTGACATAATTATATGTTACCAGATTGCAGGCGAGACTCTATTGATGTATTCTTAAAGGCAGCTGGATATTTAGATTTTGCTGTGCATCATGTTCTCCCTCAAATTCCGCCTGAACTCAGGTTCTTCTAAAATTTCAGATAATTTGGTTCTTTCTGGTTAATCACTAACAAACATTTCTAGATTATAAGATTTGCCTGGTTAATTATTCTTACAGAAACCTCAGATTTTTGAAGCGAAATTTGCTACCTTTTTTCTGCAGGAAAGATTTACCTCAGGACCTGGCAGAGGGAGTGCTTCGAGCCTTTTGTCTGCAAGCACTAGGCCAGGTAATACATCAATGAAGCTACACATGCCATTGTTTCCTGCTGATTGATTGTTCATGGACATGAAATTTTAGGTATCGGTTGTATAAACTTTTTCCCCCGATGATACAGGGTGTTGATATTCAACTTGGAATGGCAATTGATAGTGTCAAAGCCACATTGGCAGTAAAACGAAGGTTTGCATGCGAGCTGGTAAAATACTGGAATCAGGTAAAAATTTATACATGCTGAAAGAGTGTTATTCACACATTGTACGAATACAAAAATTCTCAGATGTGGATTGGGTATACTTTGCAGGCTGGAGAAAACATAGTAGACCTTCCACTAGCAAATGGATGGGGAGAAAAGCATAAACTTTTCATTGAATGGAAATATGCTGAAGCCAAGGTACAATTTTTGTTTATGAGATTCGTTCCTCTTGATCTTATGAATAAAAACATGTGAGGCAGACTTATATATAATACATTTCAGGCTGCTGCATACTATCTTCATGGTCTAATCCTTGAAGAGGGACAAACAGAAGAAAGTAATGAGATGGGTGAGGCAGCTCTTCTGGCAGCTGATGAGTTTCTGAAAGAAAGTAAGAAGGCCTGTGAGTGCTTCCATATGGCACCTCCTTTTTCGCGGTAGGTACTCTACTTCTGAAAGCTTTCTCTTTGATATATGTATCTTTCTGGGTTTTGGCTTCTAACATAGCGCTATGTTGGTACAGAAATCCACCTCTTTGGGGGACTAGCAAGTACCTCTGTGACAGGATTCCAAAAGATATTCCAAGCAGAGTGCTAAAAAATGGTCACCTGCACAATCATGAAATGTGAGTTGGTATCAGTTTTTGATCTCTTTCTAATTTGGTTACAGGATTCTGTAGACATATTTATACTGGTGGGTGGGTTGTGTTTTGGTTACAGGATTCTGCAGACAGCTCCCGCATTGCCGGACTTTGAATTGTCTTTAAAACCTGAAGATTACCAGCTGCCTTCAGTGGATCCCTCATGGAATGACATTTGAATTGAAGACCTGGGAAACTTAGAATGCATAGATGTACCAAATGACAGAAACCTCTTTGAGTCCAAGCTCCTCTATATGACCCACACTGACTGCTCGTAGCATGATCCTTGCTTATTCTATAGTTTATTACCATTTCTCATTGTCGTTTAGCTTTAATGGATGCATTTTAGTTACCTTTCAGCTAAAAATATAGGAACTGTATATCCTTCCGTCATCTTCAAGTTAAATAAACGAAAACTGTTGTAAAATTCTAACAAATTGAGTGCTTTGTTCATAAGTAGATACTTGTAAACAATGCAATAAAGTAAACCAAGATAAATCAACCATTTCAACTAATACAAACACCTGCTCAACTTCTTCACTTTTGGACCAACTTTTCAGGTTCAGGATAGCAACACCGCTCATGGACAAGGGCACATATAGTCAGAGACATACTCTGATAATCATCTATTTTAAATTCACTTCACTAACTCTTGCTGTCTTGCATTCAATATCTAATTCAGTAACAGTTAGTAGAAAAGACATTTATAAACAGCCTCGTGAAATCCAGAAGTCTTGAGTTGCAGAAAGTAATGCAATACAAAAATTCAAAATTACTATGAAAAAACAATGATTGTTGATTAATGGTTAAGTAAAACATATAGAGAGCCGACAAATACACAACCAAAAAAAAAAAAAACATATTGGAATGAAAATGGAAGCTAACTGATAGTAACATACATCAACTCTAATACACAACCTACAAATTCCCAAAGCAGCCTGGACCAGATTGAATTCCAGCCAAGCAAACATGAGGTCCACCTGCAAACAGGTTAAGAAGGTAATCAAGGTCGTCAACTACCAATCACAATACTTGTATTCGGACAATGTTACAAGTAATGCAGCAGATAAATTCCCTTTTAATCATAAGAAATATGGAACTCCTGTCCTTGGTCCCCTCATCTGGTTGTTCTCTTCCGTTTCTGTGAAAAACTTCACTTCTCGCTCCTTCACAAATAACAGTGGAAACAATTAAATACGAACCGCATAAATATCCAGAAAAAATGAAGGTTAACACTAATGAAAGTGATCTATCAACAGCACGGCAAGAGATGTAAGGAGCGCTTGAATGAAAGAGCAAACTACAGAAAAAAATAATTGGACCCCAAATGAATGTATCCAAGTGATCCTATATCAATTTCCCGGCAGCAACAAAGGTAAAATGGGGCCAATTAATAACTATAAATACGACTCAACAACTTATTAGACCTAAATTTTCATAGCATTGTAGACATGATACATGATAGAAACCAGTGAATTAATTAGATTTTCCAATATATAAACACATCAACTGGAAAGCTAGTAATATATACCATATTCTCATTGAAGCTCAATATAGAAGCTACATTCCCACAACGGTAACAGTAATTAGGTGCAGACCACACCTGCAGAAATCAAGAACCATGCTATTTCATCAAACCGTCGATATTTTTTAGCAACAACATGAGCACAAAAAGGTCCAGAGACTCACAGTCACTAGGCCTTTATCTTGAAACATGTACTTGAGACCTTCTTGTACAAGTTGGTGTGCTCGACAAACTAAATCAAGATTGTTTATGTGATTAAACTGCAAGGGAAAATAAGACAGAGAAAGATATCAGTACTTCAGCGAAAAAATACTGTTGTAAGTTAAGATCTGAAATGACATTACCTCAGATGTGACCCTGGAACCAAAAAGCCAACCTGCTCCTCGTGGACTGACAGCCCATGTTTCGATATCTTCAGGATCACTCCACATGAGATCACAAAATGGTCCTTCATGTGGAATTTCACAATTCCGTTCAATCACCCTTATCTGCCAAAGAGGTAGAAAATTAAATAACACAGGCAAGGTACCAGATCATTCCTGCTCTTAAACACAGAAAACAGAGAGAAAATTACATTATGGCTAGTTACATATGCTGCTGAGAAATCAGTACTTAATAGAACGTTGTTGTTTGATGTATATGGTTACTAGCTCCATGAAATACAAAATCATGAACTTTATGCGTTTTGCAATCAAACCCAAACTCTGAACAAACCAGAACCCAGTAAAATGTAAAAATGCATGACGAACTCCTAGTTCAATGCAAAAGCTACAAGCATGTTACTTGTCCACATTTCAAAACTTGATCATGATTTGAACTGAAGCAATCTATCAAATTCCCCTCTGAAGCTATCTACTAATAAACTGATTTCAGCAAGAGTTAAGGCAATGTTTGAAATCTCTGACACAACACATTATACATGTTGAACACTCCACCATATCCATGTTTATATTTCAAAATTTATGACATGATCCAACACTTGTTTGAACATGGTAGGTCAAGGGACGGAATTTACAAAAATCTTGAGTGTATAACTTCTCTATTGCTCCAGCAAATTCATATTTTTAAAACAGAATTTTAAACTTTTCTGACATGCCAGAGACATGCACGCTAGATTGAGAAGAAGATGACATCTTAATCTCCAAAGCATCATTCCCTCATTATTTCTCTTCAAAACTTACTTACCTTCTTTTTGTTAATAAGATCACCCTTTTTTCAACACAAAAGGTTGATAATAGAAGCCCCCACCATATTGTATCATTTTCTTTAAGATAAGTTCAAGTGGAATTTTCATGTCAGTCACTAATTGCCACTAGTCTCAGTACATGTTTTGCGGTTTACAAAATTATCTCAAACTTCATCCCAGATTTTTATTCAAAGATTCCATTAGTTCCAACTTATACAGACACAGAAAATGTTGGGTGACCATTAGAAAAACCCTAAATATAATATGCACTAATGTTGAGATTGTTTTAAGCAGATAAATGTCAGCTAAACAACTAAGCAAGGGTAAAGGTAGAAACCTGATCAATTGTTCGTATATCAGGTGAAAGACCACCATGAACACACAACACCTGAAACAACAAAAAACAGATCTTAATTTAATTCAAAAAGTTTTCATGTACTCAGGCAGAAAAAAACACTTTTAAGCATATAAACAAGTATATAATTGAGAGGGAAAGAACAGAGGCAGGGGTAAAATGAGTCTTACAGTCCCATCTATAATTGCTGAGAGTGTTAGATAGTCAAAGACATCTGTACAGTACCGCCATGCATTAGCATTTCCATACTTCCTCTGGCACTCATCATAGAAGCCATATACCTAGAAACATAAACATTATGCATAAATACATATCAAACAAATACACCACAACTCTAATACACTCTCCCACAGCCAAGAAAGCTTGTGACTGAAATCTCAAGAATTCTCACCATTCTATTTTAAGTCTCAAATGCTTGAGATAATTTTTAAGTTCCAGAAGAAATTCCATTTTGACAAATAAAGGAATTCCATTCACATGTTTACCCATTAGACAAGCTCTTGTACATGTAGCAACACATTCATTAAGATTACAGCCTCTCAGCATATTAAAAATTAAAAAAAAAAAAATTACAACACAGTACTATCAAAATTGAAGGATTTCCAAGCAAAATTGATGGCACTGCTAGGGAAAAAAAAATTAGAGCTAATGACAGGGTTGTGCATAAGAGAAAGTTAACGAGATGAAAGATGCTATTAACAAGGTTCTTTTTTCTTGCATTGTCAATCCCACTTTTTCAAGCGCTTAGAATTCCTAGATGTATTGATCCTAAAAGATCGTTAGCTTTTAATTTTTTCTCAGTGCTCTTCTATACTTCCAGTCTGCTGGGACAGTAATCAGTTTCAGCAGGTTTAACAGATCAAACCAGAACTTGCATGGGTCTCCAAATGACCGAGAAAAACCAAGCTTAAGATCTCACATTTGCATGTAGGCCATATGAAACTGAACTCTCTTCATGACACAATTCTGATAGATGTATCCTTAGTAACATAATAATGGGGGAAAAAAAAAAAAAAAAGCATACAACTATAGAAAACTTGAAAGCATACCTGAGTTAATTGTCTGCTTTCATGATTTCCACGTAGAAGGGTAATATTAGCTGGGTATCTACAAGCACAGACAAGTCGAATAGCAAGAGAATTATTAGATTCTTCAACAGAATCAAAATATTTGATAAATTTGAACAAAGAATTTTATTTTGCATAGTTTCAGCTAAAGCAATGGCGCAACAACTCTAAGCATCAATGTTAAGCCTTTAAGAAATCCACATGATTGTTGATACAAAATTTTCAAGTTCCTGGCTGGAATAACTTCAAACAAATTCTCACGTGGTCTTATGGCCTCAACCAGCAAAACTAAGAACAAAATACATAAGAAAACACACTATGAAAGCTAATAAAGTCATAAGAAGAGAAAAAAAAAAAACCTGTAAAAAGGGCATACCTTGCTTTAAGAAGCAAAAGAATAGTGAAGACTTCAAGGCTATTGTAACCCCGATCAACAAAATCCCCCTGTCAAGACATTACAATATTCAATGCCACAAGCAATTAAAAAAGAAATATTATAAAGAATCAATTCAATGTAACAACATTTTTTAAACAGAAATAATACCATGAATATGTAATTAGTCTCTGGTACATGACCTCCTGTCTGGAAAAGTTTCATTAGATCATGAAACTGGCCATGTATATCACCACAAACAGTGACTGGACTGTTGACAGGCTGCACATTGGACTCCTCAATGAGGATTTCTTTAACCTGTAATATTTGCACACACAATAACAAATAAATTTGACATCAACTGAGCAAAATTCAGAAAACATGTGATCTACTATTCTCACAAATGAGGGAAATTTCATCTGGAGAGTTGGCAGCTTCATTATGTATAGAATATACATATAATTCAAATAAGTCAGCTTTTTCAACCAAAAAGAAAAAAAAAATCCAATAGTTAGCTAATTGTCTGGCCTAACTGACTATCATCAACCATCGCTTAACAAGGATTTTATTCACAAACTGTAGCATAGGTCATAGAGACCAGCTCACAGTACACTAAAAACAAAAAATTCATCATACAAATTCAATATAATACCATAAAACCATTCAAAAATCACGATAAACATCCAAGTAAATATTTAACTCCACAGCACAAAACTAACTTAGTAACAAAATGTATACACAGGGTCTTTAATTCTGGAAATAAATCAATAGATCTGCTACTTTCAAGCTCCAACAAAGAGTCCATATAAATTTGCTTCACTGGGAAAACCTCTTCACCACCCAACACATTTACCAAGTCCCAATTCATCAACATTTCATACGAAAATACATTTAGCAGGCCACAAACACAATACTACGATCAAACATAAGAATGCCCTCGAACGTATCACCCATCCTAAAATCATATTCAAAATGCCCTAGTTGCCACTTCACACTTCACATGTAACAACAAAAATTCCCCATTCGAACCATAAATATTACCACAAGAAACGAAATTGTCAAATGGAGAAAACGTAAAATTACTTGTAAATACTATCAGCAACTGAAAGAGAATAAAATTTGGTAATAAATCAATCATTTCGAAAGCCAGTAAAAACCCCGATTGATTTCGTAAAGTGAATAAAACGAAGAAACAACACACGTACGTATTCGCAGAGGAGCTGGAGCTCGTCTTCCAACAGATGCTGGCCCTCTTTAACTTTCGATATCCACTGATCCAAATCCATTCAACTTTTTTACAACCGATTTGTCGGAGACAAAAACAGAAATTAGGGTTTAGAGAGTGTTCAGAAAAGGGGGAGGAGAGAAAAAAATCTCGCAATTCACGAGCCCTGCCCTGTGCGTTTGATTTTTAATTTTTTTAATTTTAATTTACGTCGACAAACAACAAAAATTTAAAAATTAAATAAAGAAGAAAACCAGATCTACTATTTATTTATTTTTATTTTGTTTAATTTTATATTTACGTGTGTATTTATTTTAGGAGGTAGACGGGAAACGAAAACATAATAAAAACAAAAAACTGTTGGGCCAGGCCTATGATTAAACGGGCTTTTAAAACTTGATGAGATGGGCCCAAAATTATTTGGGCCTTTAATTTTCCATCAAGCCCAACCCGCAAGCCCAAAGAAGAGTCCTGAACCGACAAGGGCTCGTAGAAATAAAAAAAACTGAGATTTGATGATTCAGTGATCGCCTGGGAGATCAAAATTTGATTTTTATTTGATTGGAATTGGGATCTGGAATCTAGGGTTTAGTTGGCTGAAGGGGAAGCGATGGGGGAGGAGTTTTCGGGTTCATCCACGGCTATTGGTTCATCCAATATCGGCTTCCAGGTATTTCAATTTTAGCTTTGTGGGGTTTTATTATTATTATTATTATTATCATCATCATCATCATCATCATATATTTATGCGGATTTTGAGATGTTAATTGAAGGGTTTGATTGTTTTTGCAGCTTTTGAAGAAGCACGGATGGAAAGAAGGAACTGGGCTTGGAATTTCTCAGCAGGTTAGCTAAATAAACGCAGACTACTTTACCAGTTTCATGTTCTTGTTCATTATTAATTTCTGTTGCGTACAAATTTCTGGTTTCTATAATTTGTTTTGTAAAATTCGGTGAATTCTTTGTTTAGAATGCGAATTTGCTGAGGTGGGTTGGAGGGATTTCTGGGTTATTGGAAAAAGGAAAAAGTTTAACATGATTAAGTTAGTTGTAATTACAGAAACAAATCGTTGTTGAAGGTAGGGCATTAATCTCAATTGTAGATATATTCAGCTTTTGGAGACCGTGGTTTAATAAGAGCTGTGGATTTTATTGAACTGAATGGAACTGTGTAAGCTGATTCGGGCTGAATCTCAATATTATTGCTGGTCAAGAGTAGTATGTTTTGTGATGGATATATGAGTTGTCTTTTGTGGCTGGTTATGATGCAATTTGTGTTTTCTTCGTGCCACTTTTATGGTTATTATTATGCTTGTTTCTATCTTAACACTGAGCTTACGGTGCTAACAGGGTAGGTTGGAGCCGGTAAAAACTTATTTGAAGAACAATAAACGAGGTCTAGGATCAGAAAAAGTAAAGAAGAAACTACCAAAGCCTCTTGAAGCTCCCATTTCAGAATGCCAAAATGACAAGGTTAGTGCCGTAGACTTCATTAGCCATATCTTTAAATTATTTTTTCTTCGGTTTCCTTTTTATCATGAGTTGAAAACTTCTTCCACCAAGAAAAGTGAAAATAAGTGTCAGAAAGGAGATGTGGCCTTAGCCACTGAGTTCTTGAAATAGATCCATATTGTCAAAGAATAACTGTATAAGAACTGGTTACAGAAAAATGCAAGAATACATCTATTTTGCTGTGTGAAATTAGACTGCTTTGATTGAAATCAACTAACAGAAAGGTCGTGAAGAAAGTTTATTAGCAATCGATCGACGACCATCTCTAATAAGAATTTTAAACCATTAGAAACATCTATGTTTTCTCATCCCAAGTGTGCCTTTTCACTTGATTTGTTGAACTGTTGGACATATTTGCCTATATCTCTTACGTGTATATTATGGAGAGACTTACTATAAAATGAATAATACATGTGCTCTGATGGTTTCTCTTTTGCAATGATCATCTTATTATATGCCTTTTGCTGCATTGGGGTAAAATCCTTGCAATAAATTGCAGGATCAAACACCTCCAAGGAAATCTAAGGCATCTAAAAGGATGAGGAAGATGCAGGAGTTGGAACAACGTTTGCAGGAAAGGGAATTTGAGCGGGCATTTCGCAGGGAGTTCTGGCCAGATAATGTGTGACAATGGAATTTGTACAGGTTTTAGACTTCTTGTAGACTCATTTTTGCCCTTTATTTTTGGGCTGTTGCAAGATTAATTGTATTACTCAACACACAGTTTATGATAGAAATTTTGTACATATATCACCATCATATTGCCACTTTTTTCCTTTTAGAGCTTCTAAGTCACAGGTACTGGATGAAGTTGAGTGTCAACTCGATAATTTCATACCTGAATAACAAGTATACTTAGAGATATTAAAAAAAGAGATGTAGAGAGAAACAAAGGGCTCATTGAATGTTTAATAGAACAATTCAGTAGGAGATTTAAACTGTAATTACTTATTTACAATTGAATGCTTGTTAACAGTATTCATCGTTTCTTTTTCTTCTTTTCATCGAGTTTAACAAGCTGAACAGGAGCTGCTGGTATCCTGAACCACCATTCTCTTATCCGCCTTAGCCACTTATCACTGCTTTCTTTCCTATATGGCATCTCCCTCGTGTAAGGCTCCAGAAACACTAAGATAATTAAGTATCTCAAAGGCAGAAATACAAAGACAACAGCCATGAAAACCAACAATAGAGCAACTCTGTCTGTTGCCTGCAAAATGACAAAAATTAATATGTCGTAAGGAATGGAAACAATATGCCTGTAGACACGTATATATGGTGGAACAAGAATATTATATTCATGTCTAGATCTAGAGTACATACCTGGGGAAGAACAGCAAATAGTAAAGCTCTTAATTTCAGAAGAACAATATTTCCATCTTGAATTAGTGCTTCAACTTTAGTGATAGCTTCCTGTAATGTCAGCAGCTGTTCTACTGCGTTTTTAGTTGGGGGTAGAGTAATTTTGAGGGCTTCTAATGGCTTTCCTTTGTTAAAATACCTACGCCAGAGCATGAGAACTGCCAAATATACTGAAGTGGCTGCCAACATATAACTGATCCACCCCCTGTACATGAAATAAATAGCTTTATTCAACAGCTTTGTCTGATCTCTTGAAAACTTAAAATTTCAGAAATGTGGAAACCAAGATGACACAGAGCTCCGAGCTGACAGCCCAAGCTAATTCTCCTCCAAATTAAATTGTGTTTAGTTTTCCATGAGCTATTGTCCAAGCTAAAATTAAAATCTCCATGTTTTGCTGTCTAAATCATATGAGATGCAAAGCTAACAGGATAAGATTTCAGGGAAACACTAACAGAATTGAGGGACACGAGAAGCTAAAGAAGCTTGCTCAAGAGGAGGAAGCTAAGGATCATCTACTGACCAATTTAAGAAAGACTTGAAGGCAAAACACCCAAAGTACCCTGTTCTTCCATCTTCCCTCACTGTATTATTTATTTAATGAATCCACTTAAATTCTACAATTTTCTACACTGACAAGCACCCAACTCAACATCCACATAGCTACAATTTCTGGAAAAATAATAACTAAATTTTAGGACTTAAACTAAGACCCTCATGCACGTGAGATGGAACTATTGTTTTTATCCAGTTGAGATTGGTAAGTCTTGTTTGATAACTTATTACATTGAAACAAGTAAATATTTTTCAGAAGCCATCAATATGCAACAATAAAGTAGATATTGAACAACCTTGTAACCAAGGATGCAGAGGATTCAATCCAAAGACAAGTTACCTTGAAATAGCAATGCAAGTCAACACCATAAACACTGTTGATTTAAATTGGTCTTCCCAAGAGGCGCGAAGTTGAACATAGTTAGCTATTTTAATGATGGGGAACAGCAACTCCTGCACCATAGAGAAGGAACAATCTCAGTCATTATTCAAATTAAAACCCAAAAATTTCATCCCATAAGCTCTACACACAGTAAATATCAGAAAATAGGAAAGTGTAATAATGATTAAATTTCAAAGGAACTTTTGTTATTGATAAAGAAAAGACTATCTATTTATGGTTATCAATGTGTCGATATTCTGAAATTGAATTCCCCTTTTGTTTCAACAGTGCTCCAAATAAAAATGATTTAACACTAACAGTGCAATTTAGAAGCTTGATTTCAATTTCTCAGCTTCCAGTACTCCAAAGGTTAAAAAACTTTTCACTTATAGTTAAGTGAAATACATATTCAAGATCTGATGACAAATCAAGGTCTCTTCCTAAAGGAGAGAGACAAAAGATTCATCTTTCTTCCACTAAGGGAAGAAAATGAACACAGTTTCTGAGCAATAAAATTCCAAATGTATAATTCAAGCAGATTTTAATATTTTGGCCAATAAAACACAATTCAACAAGAAGCTATTATAAATCTACCTGCATTACTGCAACATTTGTGTCTATCCCTTCCACCTTCACTTGGTCCACAGTTGCCTGTGCAGCTTCAACCCTTCCTGTGTCTGATACTGACTTTTTCACTGCTATCTCCAAAGGATTTGTCTCTCCAACACAAATATCTCCAATTACCATCGCTTCTAAATCAAGATTTGTCTCTGTTTTCCAAACGAATCCAAGTTGACTTAGCGTCAAAATAGCAACTGGGGATTGTTTCAGCTTTTGTTTTGCGTGTGGGCTCACAGCCATATCATGTTGAGCACCACCAACATTCAACAGTGTCAAGCGCCTAGACAGAGTTTCCAAGATTTCATCCCCCCTTGGTAGACTTTCAGCAAGGTTAAAAGCAAGTAATGTTTTGTATTGGGATGAGAAGATGTGGAAACCTTCTCTAACTGCACGATATCTGAAGATGCCTAACATAGCCCTTGCTATTACTTCCAATCGTTGAGTCTCATTGAAGTTGTTTTTTCTAATAAACATGTGTGCTCGCAGGATCTCAAGACATATATCCAACCAATAGTCGCGGCGAGAGTTGCCTTTGAATTCAGGGAACTCAAAATAAACAGGCTCTTCTCTATAGATGCATCAAAAATAAATAATATAAACAAGAAAAAAAAAAAAAAAATAACCACCATGACAAAAGGAAAATAGGAAAAAAGATTGTAAGCCCATGAGTTATACAAGTTTACAATCTGTAAGACATGCTGTCAGATAACATACATAGCTGTCGACTTGTACATCACAGCTTTATCAAAGATACGTGCACCCAGTGGTCCAGTCAATTCAGGTTTTATGACCTGCTTCATGTCAGTTGCCAGATCATATCTAACGGCTTTGTCATATAAACCAACTCCCAATGATTCAAAGTACAGAGCATTATTAGTTAGACTCAGCCGCCCTACACAAACAGAAACACAATGATTATGAAAAGAAGTCCAGGAAAAAAAAATAATAGAGAAGAAAAAAATAATCATTGAAGCACATCAGATTCTCCCAATTCAGCTGAGGAGAATGGCGACTATATTGTACCGACTGTAACCAATTATTCCTCAAATAATTAGAATTGAAGCATAACAACATGGCGCCAGAAGAAACAAAGTCAACTGTCTAAACACTATGATAAGGGGTATAGTGATAAGCCAACATGGACAGCAAGGCAGATAGACTGATTAGACATTGGGGACCTACTTTAAGGAACAATGACTTACCAGGCCAGGCTGACATTCCAATATGTTGAAGAACTGGTTGAGTAGGAACAGAACCATCAACATCAAGAATGATCTCCCCCTCAGCAAGCTGAAAGTTGGCAGCAAGCTGGAGTCTGGAAATTGAAGACCCCAATGCACTTTTTGCAGCCTTAATAACCCTGCATATAAGAAAAGAGCCACATACATAAAAATATTGAAAAAGTATTTCAACTTCTATAAAGAATATAGTAAAAATAAAAATACTACATTAAAAAAAAAAAAAAAAAGACAATATAGTTAAATATCTTCACTCTTTCTGGTCAAAATATGAATCATATGATGCAATGGTGCAATTAGGAATCAAATACCCTTTCCTTTTTTTTCTTTTTTTTTTTTCCTGATACCCATAAATAGCTAAATACAACCTAGATTATGGCTCCAAGAGCAATGGGTATGCCTTTCTTGAAGCCCATTCTTTAACCTTCAAGTAGTACACAAGTTTTACATGCATAGAAGGTCATTATCAAATATGGCTCCTGCCAAAGCAAGGTCTTAGAAGAGCAACTGAATATACACTAACCTCTATCGTCGTTTGATAAAACTGTAATCCTTAAGACTCAATATAGTGTACATGGTCTTGGCGGCCTGAGAATTCCTCTGTGGCACATAATTTATACTCTCACTAGTAAATGCAAGAACTTAAGGATTATAATTGGCCGACCATTACAATGGGGCATATTATGTCAACCCTCTCATTTCATAATTAAGATGAGTGCTTCAATTATAAATATGAAGGAAACCTAAAGTACACTCTTCTTCTCAACCTGAAAGATGAAACATGCTGAAATAATGGTCTCAATGTAACCATATAAGTTTGTGGAACAATATGGCTTGTAAATCAGCTCAAAAGAGCATTTCAAAAATGTATAGACAGAATGCTCTGAATCTTCATTGTAAGTAATTAAAGTGATACGAAAATAATAGTAAAGCAACTTCCAAAAATGTTATGAGAAATATTAGGGCATCAAGGCAGGAAGCATGAATTATTGCATCCAAATCATCAACAAGCATAACGCCCTGTTGCCTCTACACAAATTGACACATTATTTTCAGAAACCTAAGCAACTGGAGTTTATAGAATTGATAAAGATCGAGGAGCTATTCATACTTGTCAAGGCTCCGAAGATATTTTTCATATATGAGAAAATGGAGTCGAGAGCCTGAAGAGCTTGTAAGTGCTTCAAATAGATTGTGAACAGTTATTAAATCTGCAACAGCAGCACAAACAGGAGCTATACGTGCAAAAGCCTCTGGCCCAACAGTTTTATTGTCACCGACCTGAGGAAGCGTATATAATAATTCTGATTACAATTGTCTCAGGCCTAAGATTAAAATACTTATCACTTCCCTGCACTAACACCCTAACATGCAAACTTAAAAAAAAAAAAAAAAAAAAAAAGGGAAAATGTCAAAATGGTTTTAGAAGAACCTGAACAGCCATATTTGTGGAACTTGAATAAAATATTGATAACCCATCCTCATCCTCTTCTTCATGATTGCTGGAAGAAGGAGATTCCTGCAGTTGAACAGAATTCAAAGCAATAACATCAAGCTTAAATCTTACAAATGCCAATAAGTAACAAAGAAGGACTCCCTCACTTTATTATCTGATTCACACTCAACACTAGGGGTCTCCCATGCAAGCATCATGTCAAATGTTAAACGGCGGAAATCCGGGTCACTCAAATAATCTGGAGTTCTACTCATCACAGTGAGTGTTTGGAATGAGCAAAACTCAACAAAATGCCGCGCATATGTCAAAAGTTGCTTAACACTCTCAGGCAGCTCAATGTCATAGCGATGCTGCAATTCTTCAGTAGAGATTTTAAGTATCCTGCAACATTGTCGAGTATTTATTATTCTTATTATCACAGACAAAACCAAAATTATCTCTAAGCATCTGAATGTTCTTTCTTTCTTCATAGTAACTCAGTGACTATCAAATAACTCCAAAAGGTTCAAATATTGATCAATCTAATGTTATAATCCACAAAATAATTACAAACCCTAGATCTAGATTTAAGTTGAATTGAAAAAATGAAATGAATGTTAAAAGACTGAGAATAAAGGGCGTACTTGGAACAGCGAGCGACGACAGAGTTGGCAACAGCAGAGAGCTGAGGGATGTGTTTGGGAGAGATTGCAGGGGAGTCTTCATCATTAGATGGTGAATGGGATTGAGATGGGGATTTCCTCTTGCGCTGAAACAGAAACTTCAATGAGTTTTGTTGATTCAACATGAAATTCTCCAACACTCCCTTCTTAACAACAACGGCACCGTCTCCTGCTTCCATTATTGAACGATCTTCCATTTGTGAAATTAATCAGATATTTTTACATCACTTTAAGCAGAAGCTTTCCCGGATTCTCTTTGCTGGTTTCTTGTCCTTTCTCATGTCAGCAGTTGCTTTTTTGGTTCTTTTTATTTATTTATTTATTATTATTATTTTGAAAACTTGAATTACACATGTAAAATGTGAGTTAAGGCAAACTTAGGGTCGGGCCAAAATACGAGGGGTCGGATGCCAAAAAAATATCTATAGCTGGACAAGGACGGGACCCAATCGGTACCGGTCCTGGTTTAAGGGCCGGACCGATCCTTAAGACCTGGGAAATTTTTATTTTTTTGTAAACTACATTTTAACCCCATATCTATTATCTATTTTGAATAAATTAGGGAGTTTTGGATATTTATAAGGGGCTTACACAAAACTAGGCAGGGGTTTGGGATCAATCCCAAGCCCGAGATTGGAGGAGGGATCAAACCTAGGCCCAAGCCCTCTTGCATAGGCCTGGTCTAATTTTGGGATTGGAACTTATAGGATCGGTCCTCACAAGGACTGATCCTAAGCGCATTTAACTCATTTAACTAGTTTATGACATTTTTATTATTTGATCATTTATGACAAGTGTTAAATCATTTAACTTGTAACTAATCAAGTTTTAACGGTGGCATAAACAAATATTTGTGTCATAGTTGCGACGGTAGATTATTGTGGGATAACTGTCTCTGAAGAATAGTTGAATGATGACTATGTTTATTTTGTTATTTTGAGTAATATTTTTAAAAAAGTTAATTGGATTGTTATTACGAGGATATGATTTAAAAATAACAAAACACCTTTTAGGTTTGTTAATTTAAAACACCCCCTATAATAAAACATTAAAAATTAATAAAAAAATACCCCTACTTATACATTAAATGGCAGTAGCCGGCCACCACCATAGGAGGGTGGTTGACTGTGGGCATTTAATAGATGGGTGAGAGTGTTTTTTTTTTTACCATCAGAGGGTGGTTGGCTGTTGGCATTTAATAGGTGGGTGAGAGTGTTTTTTTTTTTATTAATTTTCAATGTTTTCTTGTAGAGATCGTTTAACTAAATTAACAAATTTAGGAATTTAAAAATAGTTAAATAGAATATGATTGAATTTTAAGAATAGGAAAATAAATATGTATTTTAGATAAAATAAGAATAGGATAAGGAACCGATATTCCTATCATAGGTGTTATAAATGAATAATGCTCTTCTAAACAAGATAGACCGTACCTTTAATAATTAAATTATTTCTCATATTAATATTAATAATGTTGTTAAATAGTGATTCTATCCATTGTATAAAATCATATATAAAAAAATTTATGATATGTGACATATACAAATTAATTTCTAATTAGTTTTATTATGTCATAAAATATAGATATAGAATTTCATGTATCTCAACTCTCGACAGTCGACACTCTTTGACCAAGTATCTGGCTTTCTTTTGGTACATCATCAACATGGGTCAAGTTCAAAGCGAGGCAGTTGATGAAGCTCAAACTCAAAGTGAACCCCAACACTCATCATCATCACCTGCAAGCTCCATGGAATCGCTTCTTGCAGGTTGTTTTTGCTAACCCTCTTTCTTTGCTGCCTATATTACAAACTATATAGGCTTAGAGTCATGATTGTTAGGTGTTTGTGAAAAGGTCTAAAGGAAACTTTCGTTTGTGTTTTTTCACGAATCTTCGATAATTCGCTTCATTATATAAACATGGGTGTATTTCTATGTGCGGTGGCATCAAAGTTATGTTTTCGAAATACTGTGCACAAGTTTAATTTGTGTTTTGAGTTGTTCTCTTCAGCAGTTTCTGGGAATCCCATGTATTTAATGTTCCTGGTTTGTTGGCTTGGTGTTGGTTTGGTAGTTTTTATTTTTTTGCATTTTAGTTCTATGTTATTCTTCTGGGTAGTGTTCTCATTCTTCTATTATCTTCCTTTTGATTCTTTCTTGGTGTTGTGTTCTCCAACTATGTGCTTTCACAGAAGCTGCAGCATATGGCGATGATGAGAATGAGGTTGGTTCACTGTTTGTATGTAATGTAATTGTCTTTCTATTTTAAAATAGCTGCTAAATAAATTGAACCATGCATTTTTCAGTCTCTTGATGCGAAGGCTCAGAAAGCATTAGAGTGCCCTTGCATAGCTGACTTGCGAAAAGGCCCATGTGGGGAACAGTTCTCAGAGGCTTTTCTCTGCTTCCTCAAAAGTACTTCTGAGGAAAAGGTAATTATGATGAAATATAGGTGATTAGGATCTTGTATTGCCACCTTAATTAGCTATTCTTCCCATATCTCTTTGATATTCAAGCTTTTAGTGTGACTTAGATTGATCTGAAAGGATGAAATGAGTGTGTGAAACCTATACTATGTTGTTTCAGCATGAGGTTGGCCATGTCACATACCTCTTTTCTGAGTTCTAAGAAGCCTTAGACTTAGCATATGTTGCCCATCTTTATGACATACTCTAGTTGACAATGTTTTGTTTATAGCATTGTTTGGCAAAAACACAAAAGACAGAGTGAACTTGGAGTATTTCCTTACTATTTGAGAACCACTTTTACTCGGAATATTTCGTTATTTTTACATCCTCTGAGCCACCAAATTAGATACCATTGTTTTGTTCTCGTTTGCTGGTCTTGACTCTTGTACCACACTATCATCCTGAACGTTTTTAATATAGTTGAAAGAAAGAAATTTTAGCTGCTTTCACATGGTATATCCATTTTTGACATGTTGAATTAGTTGTACTTTTAGAGAACCAGAACTGCTACGCTCCTCTGGTTAATAATATTATCAGTTTTTGGTGATGAAAAAAATCACTAGTAACAATGGGGGTAAGCTAAAGCTTCATTAAGTTTTCTATCGTTATAGTATTGCATCTAAAAGATTTTAAAGCAGTGTTGACATAATTTTTTTCTTAATGTAGGGCTCGGATTGCGTGCATCCATTCGTGGCTTTGCAGAATTGTATCAAAGCTAACCCTAATGCATTTTCTAAAGACATATTAGATGAAGATGAAGATGAAGTCAAGAAAGAGGAAGAGCCACCTCCAAGTCCAACATACAAAATCTATCCTCCCCTATGGTCCAGGGGTCCTCAGAGTCCAAAGTCCAAGCTTTAGGGAAAAGATTGAAGATGTCCCATTTTCACCTTTTCTAGTTCCCCTTAAACTATACAATATATATTTTTCCATAATGTTAAACCTTAGATTTAAGTGGTTAGAAAGGGCATTGTTCATTCATTAACCAACTCATTGATTAATGATTTCATGCCTTAAAGCTTTCTCAACCCCTTTTGATCAATGGACTCCTCATGTGTATGGAGGAGTGTAATTCGTTCGATAAATTCCTACCTCTTTATCTATCTTTAAGATGGCCGGATCGTTTAAAACTCAATGAACATGTGGAAGAAATATGCTAGCAATTAGGTGAAGCAGAGTAAAAAGTAAATCTCTCCTTAATAAACAAATTAAAACTTTGCAAGTTTACAATATCTTTCTAATGTTTCTAAATTCTCATGAAATTCATGAAGTATACAGCCACAATGCATGCATATTGGCACGCGACAATTACGTGATTTCCAAAATCGTCTATTTTTCAATGAAATTGGGTGGTTTTTCGGAGGATATGTGACAATCACTAATTTCATTATTTCAAGGTAAATTTTGAATATTTTCAAAGTTAGTATGATCTATTGGATTTAAACAAACTTAAGGGAGTAAAAGAAAATTTTGTCAACAACTATAAACCCCAGCTGACACCGGTTGCGGTGTCCACGGTCACGCAATGGCTTTCCTTGCTTCTTCTTCTTCAACCTCCTCATTCTCTTCTCTCCAATTTTATCCCCGAACTAGAATTCCCAAACTACCCTTCTCTTCACCCTCTCTTTTGTTAACCCCACAACGAAGAACTGCCCATAAGTTTTCTTCAATTGTCGTGGCAGCTCAAAATGACAAGAACAATCAATCAGTGAAGAAACAAAAAAAAGACGCGGAAGTTGAAGTTGAAATTGAAATAGAAGAAGAGTTGCCGTGGATTCAGGAGAAAGCTTTGGACTTGGTGGAGTTCACTGGGTCAGTCACTCAAGCCATTCCTGGACCCAGAGTTGGCCAAAGCAAATTGCCTTGGATTCTTGCTGTTCCTTTGGCTTATGTTGGTGTTTCTTTCGTTATTGCCTTTATTAAGACGGTTAAGAAGTTCAATTCCCCTAAATATAAACGCAAGAAATTGGTGAGATCACTGTTGTGTTTGAGTTTCTGTTTAGATGAAGAACAAAATATAAGAAATTCAATTTTGAGAATTTTTTGGGTGCTTCTAATATGTGTTTTTAATTGGAGAAGTTTTGGCTTTCGTTGTTTTCAATGTAGCTTGTGCTTAGTATAACACTTGAAACCAGTGAATTATGTCCATCACTTCGAAATTTATTTCTCAGATGTGCCCAGCACACCGAAATTCTACAATTTTGAGATTTTGTAAATTTTTTTTTTATTTTTAAAGAGGATTTTAGATAAGTTTCTATCAGTTTGTATGTTATGGGGTTTGCCTAATTTGAGATATTATGTTCAGGTGAATAGGAATGCAGTGTTATGCAAATCAATAGATGAATTACTGCAGAATGGAGGAAATGCATTAGAACCATCAGCTTTAAAAGACTTAATGCAAAAGGTGAGACATATGACTCTTTATCCTGTGTTCCTTTCGATATTATACTCTCAAGCAGTGCGGCTATGAACTTGCTATTTAATGAGCACACACTAACACTTGTGGACGAAGAATTACATATATATTGATATAGGTGCATATTGAATGGTCTTCTTGTTGAAACATGTGATGCTTCCTTGTTTATCTATGTTATTTGTACTATACATTGTACTGCTTGCACACAGATTGGATTTTGATAGCAACTTGTCATTTACATCCAGACAGGATTTAGCATGGAGGATATTTTGCGGAAGTATATTAGGTATGCTTTGAATGAGAAACCATTCAATCCAGAATTAGTTGCGAGCTTAATCCAGCTTAGAAAAGCTTCCGTGTTGGATGATTCCCAAGTCGCTGAAATTTTAAATGAAATCTCTAGGCGTATTGTGAGAGAGAAAGGTAACTGTTATAGCATTGATTTTGGTTTGTTTCTGGTTCTGGCATTCATTATTGCCTCTATCCTGTGTAGCAATGATATGATGTGCATAGTACACTTGTGTTTAATATTTTGCGGGATACTGCGTATGAACAATCACACTTGTAGGCCTTGCTCATGTTGGACTTGTCCATAAGATCCTTAGCAGAATCAATGATCCCATCTAGTTTGTTAATTATTTGATAGCCAATTGACTGGACTGTTCACTTGTTTTTCTTCTTATGAAATGGTGCAAGATAGAGATAATTTAGATGGTGACTTTTACAGGGGGATTATGTTTTGAAAGTTAGACTATGCTAAATGTTTTGCCACACCTGCTTTATCTAGCTTGGAGTGTTAATATTATCTAGACTTTACCTGCTAGGATGCATTTATATTTCTCATGCTTCTGTTATATTTTCAACTTAAACTTTAGAAGCCACTGCATAGCCTTTTTGTGGGTGGTTTTGAAAGAGGGGGTAGGGCGGTTGAGTGGAAGTTGAGCCATGCATTTTAAGCTAATAAAGGGTGGGTACTGGTATCCTATTTGTGTCTACCCTTTTCTTAACTGCTTATGTTTGATTGCTGGTTTATTGTAGATTATAAGTGCATGCCCAAACTTGTAGCTCAGATAACATTCTACTGGCTTGCTTTGTGCTCTTGCCTGTCCTAAGGATGCCATCATCCCATTGTATTGCTAGGGAAATTTTAGCAAGAGCTGTACTTATTTAGCAAATTCATCTTTAAAATCTGAAATAGAGATCAATTGTAAGCTGTAGTCCATGACAAATTTGTCAATGTAAAGTTTATCTCTAGTCCAAATTCCTATTTTGTTTTTTCACATTATTTTACTGATGGCGATACTTATATGTGGTTGTGGCTTACTTTTGTTTACCTTGAAGCACTATTATGGTAAGAAATAAGTTAGATAATTGCATTTTTCTCATGCTTGTCTATGTTTTTCAGGTCCAGTTGTCATGGATATGTCAGGGTACTCAGAAAAGGGATTTAAGAGAAAACTTGCTGTGCAAACCCTTTTTGGAAAGGTCTTTTATCTGTCTGAAGTAAGTGGCCAAACAGTCAGTCATGAACTGTTACCAACTCCTATTTGTTGCTTCAGTTCAGTCACATTTCTTAATCATGTTATAACATGCCCTTTTTTCCCATACCGTGTTGGCCCTTGGCCTTTGCAATGGGTTCAAAAACTGCCTTATGAAACAATTTAATCAATTTTATTTTGTTGCGATGTATGATCAACTTCTCAGTAGTTTCACAAACATGCATGAAGATGTGTTATTGCTCACAAGTGTTGAATATGTTTGCCACAAATAAATTTCTTTTTTTGTGGCCTGTGGGTAGTGCCCTCTTGTTGAGCTATCCAATATTGCTCCCAAAAAACATTTGTGCACAGTGGTCATTCAGTTTATGGGCTGAGAATTCTGATTTCGATGTTGTGACATGCTTACTTAGATATCATAAATCTGGTTAAAAGAAATATCTTTGTGCTATTCACTTGCATCATTCTTCCTATTTAATTCGCTTTTGAGTTTGAAGCCTGTACAACTGTGGAAAAAAAAAAAAAAAAAAAAGAAACTGTTTTGGATTGGATCCGTCTTTCAGAACTAAAAGATGTGAACTTTAATTTCTTTTTTTTTTTTTTTTTTCTTTTGTTGGGGGATACAATGTTTTATATGTGGTTCCCTGAATTCTGTGATACTAGATTTCTTTGTGAATTTTTGTGCGTACGCGATTTTGAATTAATTATGCTTCTGTTCTGAACTTTTGATCCAGCTGCCAGAGTTCTGCTCAAGGGATAGCTCGTTAATTGTCAAGGAAATATTTGGGGTTACAGAGTAGGCCTTCATTCTTTCATTTGCTAGCTAATTTGGTTCTTGTAAAGAATTTAGAAATTGAAAATGCTCAACAAACCATTTCTAAGCATTTTCTTTTTTTCTTCTCACGCATATCAAGTTAGAAACAAAATCTCTAGAACTAATTGTTTGGTTTGCTTATGATGGATTATTTCTTTTGTTGATCTTTTGGTCAGTGAGGATGCAGAAAAACTTCGGTTTCATACTCTTTCTGAAGCTGGCGATATGGATTCACTGGAAAAGATGGTTAACGACTCTGATTCTGAAGATTTTGGGGAGAGCTCACCTGATGCTCAGTGATTTACGACTGCACACTGAAAGACTATTTAGGTGAGGAGAAAATTTAAAGGATTTATGGGGGCTTTCCTTAGGAAATGGTTGTTGCAAATCTTAATCATACCTTAGAATACATGCTCTTCTAGGATTTTATAAACTTGAAAGAATTTTGGTGAGTCTAGTAGTTCATATTTTGTCAAGTTCATCGTCATTGTTATACGATTTTGTGAACTTCGGTTATTATTAGAAACTATAATGTTGAGTAGTGATTGAATTTTTCAAATGAAAGCCTTGAGACAGACAGAGTCAAAGAAGTTTTAGATTGAAGTTTGAATTTTATAAATGAGCTCTTGAAGTGTAGTCTCAGATTTTACCCAATTCTTAGTTGCTCAACTCGAAGTAGCTTTAGACAAAAATCATAAGCCTTTTGGTTCACAATTATGTTCTTGAGAAGGGTTAAGATTTCCATACGGATTACTAGACCTTAAAGATGTTGTCAGAAGATCGTGGAGTTTATGCATATGGGCAATTATGATAGCCGACCTAAGCGAAACCAATCAACACAATGATCAGTCGAAATCATGGTCAAGACCCTCCTTTTATCCCACACACACGTATACCCACACAACTTCTAACATCATCTAAAAGGGTTAGTGAAAATTAAATACATCAAGAACATAAATGAAGAACATATATATTAAACATGTCAAAGAACATAAATTAAAGACATACTTGGGATCTTTTGCTATCTTTAACATTATCAGAATATTACAACACCTTTGAGTTTGAGGAAAAGTTTAGAAAGATGAAAGAAACATGGGAAAACCATGGGAAAGATGTGTAAAGAAAATATGCAAGGGAGAAGTGAGAGATTTTTGAGTAAGAGAAATATACAAGAGTTTTACAAAGCTCCTCCTTCTCCACAAGAAGGTAAAAGGCTTTATTTATATATAAGAGATATATAACCCAAGCAAGACTCATAAATGAGTCATTTAATACGCGACTAAATTTTTTTACTTTTTTACTTTTGAATTTTTTTTTTTTTTAAGCCTACAATACTTGACTTTTACAAAACATACGGAAGATATTACATAGAGTTGGTAAACTGCCATTTAGTCCACCACTGTTTTACATAAAGGACACAACTTTTTATTTTAAGAAGACACGCAAAGCTTTAATTGTCTGATAAGTTGGTAATGTGGCTCGAGTCTTCATCCTGGAAATCGAGACAACCCATTGATTGAATCCAGTCAGCAAGGATTTGTCGAGAAGATGTATCTGGATGAGTATCCAAAGAAATGTTTGGAATCTGGGATGTTTGTCTTGCAGAGGTACTTGGTGCATGCATGTACTGTTGTCGCTTGTATTTATGAAGATAGTAATTACGAGATTGCTAAAGCTCTTGCATGCATGTACTGTTGTTGCTTGGATTTATGAAGATAGTAATTATGAGATTGTTAAAGCTCTTCTTCTTGCACAGTATCTAGCTGTGAGTCTGGGTACCACTATTCTGGATAATCTGAATTGACATCGAATTGAGTAGTGATGGAACGTATGCATGTCTGTTTGGCTTGGAGTAATTTCTCAGTGTAGTCTGGAGGAAAGAGTTCTCATGGAGCATCATCGCGAAAGGATGACCATATTTCATTTGGAATGATCTGATTTCTTTCAAAAAAAGATTTTTAGAATTGATCTAGTCTCAACAGGATAGTCAAACATATTATGGATGATATCATATGGATAAGACCGATGAAATGTGACTTGATACTGTGAAAAATATAGGCCATCAGATCTGATGGAGTGATGTCTATGGAAAAACATGATAGACCATGCCATTTTGGTAGACATAGGACCTTTGTACCGGGCAAGTTGATGAGCAAACACAGATTTTTATTTGTCTAGGGTTTTGAACCATCTGAGAAAAGTCATCAAAGAGCGTAATTCAGAGGTTGAGGATGACTGATATTGGGAAATTATTTTCAACATATGATAGACCGGGAATTGAATGTCAATGTGGTATTAGTGTAACATATACCAAAAGAACCATAATAATTCTTCTGGAAATATGATATCAAGACTTGGAGGTAAACAAAAGATTTTTTGAAAGGGGTAATCCGGATGGACACCTAACATATCATACATGGATTGTTCACATTTTTCAATGCATTGAATCTGATAAGAAAACATGAGGGTGGTAGCATTTTCATCAATGGTACGAGTTCGAACAAGGTCATCGAATTCAGGAGGTATGTCTAGAGTATGGTTTGGTGAAGAAGATGATGAACAGGAACTAGACCGGGTTAATGGTTGGAACATAAAACAAGGAAGAGGTTTGAATTAAGGGTTCATGAAACCGACTTGTTCAGTTTTAGGTCTGGATAGATAATCTACAAGGGTGTCAGTGTGACCTTTAATGTGCTGGACGGTGAAAGAATATTTGCTGAACTATTTTGCCCATCAAAGTAATTGTTGATGCGAAACCTTTTGTTGGAGTCCCACATCTACTAGGCATGCTCAAGCCTATTGGGTTATGAGAGGGGGTAATCCTCCCATTCAACAAGACCTTATTGGGTGGGGAGTCAGGCCCACCTCAAATTCTATCATGGTATTAGAGCCTAGGTTCAGTTGAGCTGAGCGCTTGACCAACGAGTGAAGAGTTAGAGTCAGCAACTACCTCCAATAACAGGCATGACCCAACATATGAGCTTGGCCGTGAGGGGGAGTGTTGGAGTCTCACATTGACTAGGCATGCTCAAGCCTTTTGGGTTATAAGAGGGGGTAATCCTCCCATTCAACAAGACCTTATTGGGTGAGGAGTCAGGCTCACCTCAAATTCTATCACCTTTTACTTGTTGAATCGAAGCATTTGATCAGAACACTTCATATCCGTTTCAACAAAGAAATGATGTCCAACAAGGTGGAATTCAAACCTTTCAATGACTTTTTTTACTGCTAATACTTCATTGAAAGTAGAATGATAATGTTGCTGGTGTGGATTGAATTGTTTACTATGGTATCCACATAAATGTCGTACCTTGTCATCATCTTGTTCAAAAAGCACTGCACCCCAATGAGTGTCACTAGCATCCGTCTGAAGAATTCGTTTCCCAAAAGAAGGAATCTTCAACGGCTGTGTATGGAATGATGTGCGCTTGAGACTATTGACTGCATTTGTTTGCTTTTCAGACCACGAAAGAGGATTCTTCTTAAGCATCTGGGAAAGTGGAGTGGTAAAACGAGAAATGTTGGGAATAAAACTGCACATGTAATTGGTAATTCCCAAGAATTGTTGTATTTCTTTCTTGGTTGTGAGAATATTTGAGAATCTTTGCAACTCATTAGCAATATGAGGCTGAAGATCATACTTGCCGTCAGCAATCACCATACCAACAAAATCAATCTTTGTTTGCCTTAACTGCATTTTTTTCTCAGAGAGCATAATACCATAAGAGTGTATGATATTAGCAAATTCACGAAGAAGACGTATATAAGTGCGTTTGGTTCATTATTTTGGATAGGATTTTGAGAATAATATTGGGTAGTTGAATAGGGGAGTATTACGAGGTAAAATTTATAAATCAACCCTTAGGTTAAATAATTTAATTAAACATCCCAATATATAAAATGACAAAAACACCCCCACCACCTGCAGTGCCAGATTCCGGCCACCACCGCTGAAATCTAGCCGAAAAATTGAGTTACGACATAGAACAGTCAGATCTGTGTCGTAACGCGTCAATATGACCTTTTTCGATCAAATACACCATGGATCTTGCCGTAAAAGGCCAGATCTGCGGCCAAATGTGGCCGTCGACTGTTGCAAAGGTGCAGCTTTGGCCGTCGTTTTCGGTCAACAAACAACCATTTCTTTGGCCATCACTAACGGCCAGATCTGGCCTTTTCCGGTCATATCCATTGTAGACTTGTTGGTTATTCACCATTGTGACAAATTTCGGCTACCATCGATGGTGGTTGTCGGAATCTGGCAAGAATGGGCGGGTAGGGGTGTTTTTGCTAATTTTTAAACTTTTTTTGGGGTATTTAGTGAAATTAATGAACTTAAGGGTTCTAAAAGTAATTAAAAAAATACACTAACATTTCTGGAATAATGTGCCAAACAATATTGGGGGAATAAGATTGAGAATATGAGTAGAAATATTGAACCAAACGCACCCTATGAGATTCCTCATCTTTTGAAAAAAGAAGGATATCATCGATATAAATGAGACATTTATGCAGCAGAGGAGCAAATATCTTCGTCATGCCTTTCGGAAACAGGGAAGGAGCGACCTTAAGTCTAAAAGGCATGACCATTCACTGGTAGTGTTGGTTGGGAATGCAGAAAGTAGTCTTATGACGATCATCAGGATGAATTCGAAGTTGCCAAAATCCAGCTTTGAGATCAAATTTGGAAAACATCTTTGCATTATAGAGATTTGCAAAAAGAAGTTGTTTGGAAACCAGAAGAAATTTATCATCACGGAGAAAGAAATTCAATGGCTGAAAATTGATAACAAGTCTAAGTTTTCCTCTGGTTTGTTCAGCACGTTTATTGACATAAAAGGCTTCACATGCCCATTAAGAATCTGTGGATTCGATCAATCCTTGAGATAAAAGCTGAGTACATTCTTGTTGGGCTAGAGTAAGATGTTCTGGTGACATGCCTGAATGACTAGCTTTAGTGAGATTGATATCTTCGCTCTTGATGAATGGAAGATGGATAAGGAAATCAGAATTCTTTCATAATGGATGAGCACATTTAGTGAGAAAATCTGTATGAGAATCTACACAAGAGCATGAAATAAGCTGGGTTTTGATCTGCTCAATAGGATTGCTGTCAATCTGGAATAAATTAGTCTGAGTGGTCCTGGATTAGAAAAACATCTTGTACCGAACACCATTAGTGAGGATTCTAAGTTTATTGAGTTTAGAATAAACATCAAAACCTAGAACCATATCTTTGCCAGGTAAATCAGAACCAAGAACTTTATGAAAAGTAAAACATCTTGGAAAAATTTGGATTTTAATGGTTTTACTTATCAGATGAGTAGTGAAAGTGTCACTATTAGCAGTGTAGAAAACTTCCTGATGAGGTTTCCACTGAGAGGATTGGAGGATCTTAAGGTTGATAATAGTGCGAGTAGAACTAGTATCAAAAAATGCTATAACTGAAATGAGATTGGAATATTTAGTGGGAAAGATCTGAACTTTTGTTGTAGGTACGTGACATGAGAAGGTTAATGATGGAAGGGATTGTGCTGTTTGTTAGATATGGTAGAAATA